ACTAATTAAAATTCAATATCTATGTAAAATGTCACAAAATAAAATTGCTTCATAGTTCCAAAAATAAGAATCATAATATAGTGATATTGTCCATTGCCAAACTTGGTGGTATAAATTACGCAGACAATTAGTATGACAATTGCAGATTTCGATTTGTTCTGGGAAGACAATGTCGTGACGGGTGTCACCACATTGCCCCTAAAAAAGGATTCATCTCCGTACAAATAACTTATAAATTTATTTTATCTATCAAGCCATGTTAGTATATTCTTATGTAGAAAACTAAGCTTAGCAACCATTTTGAACGCGATTTTTACCCCGCTTACAATGTCTCATATATCTCGATATTGGCCTCAACTGAAAGATAAATTTCAATAATACGCCTCTAATCTTATAAATTACAAAAATTTTGAGATTAAATACTCGAAAATACCCTTTGAACATGCCTATAAGCACTTGCGATTTGAGCTTGAAATAATATTAATAATATATTACATTTTTAATATTATAATAAAATAATAAATTATATTTTTAATATTATATTTTAATAATATAATAATAAAATATTATAATAATAAAAGATATTATATTTTTATTTTAATAATATATAATAAATTATTAATAAATTTTTTATTATTTATTAATTCATAGAAATAATATTATTAAATTATTAATAATGAATAATATTATTTATATATATTTAGTATTAATATAATAATCTAATAATATTTTAATAAAGATATTTAAAATATACTAATTAATATTTTTAAAATATAATATAACACTATTACTTTAATAAATAATTAATATAATTTATAATATTTTTATTTCAATAAAGTATACCAATATTAATATTTTTATTAATAAATTATAAAAACAATATTTTAGTAATAAATAAATTATTTTAATATTTTAAAAATAATAATATTAATTTTTATGATAAATTATATTATTTATTGTATTTAATATTTGTAATAAATAATTTTTAAAAAATTCATCAATTAGAGGAAAAATAATTTAAACAACATCTTCCAAACATCGTAAAACGTTTTCCATAAAATATTTTTCAGAAAATGTAATTCATTTTACGGAAAACATTTTCCGAAAAACGTTTTTAATAAACCAACGGACCCTAAATACCTCACATATTAGAAAAATGCAAGGTATGTTAAATATTAATCACGATAAATTTTTTGAGACATTTAAATATCTTGGTAACCTCACGTTCTACATTACGCGAGATCATTAATTCAAATATTAAATTGTATTCTCTGAAAATGTGTCCACATTGGACAAACCTCATGCCTTGTATAAAGTGAGACTTTTACTCGCGTTTCTTAGGACGCGAGGTAATCCTACGTATGCAGTTTAAGAGTATTTTTCTAACTAATTTGGTTTAGTTGTACTTTTAAAAAATTAATTTATAAAGGTTTTTAAAATAATAACGTCGGATTTTAGAGTCCAGGTTGTAGGTAGATATTATTATTGGTATTATTATAAAACCACCCCTAAAGTATATCCTATATTCATTTTAAATATCTCAAGTTTTCTCTAATAAGAATTATCCTCTAATGTTCTCCACAAGTATCACTTTCACCTCACCTAATCGAAACTGATGATATGACACTTGGGGAGAACATCACACGCTACATTTTAATAATGTCACATTTAAAAAAGCAACATGCTACTAAAATTTCCAGAATTATTCTAATTTACTCAAATGATACTTTTATATTTAAAAATTTGCAATGAAGTCTCTATATATATTTTTAGGACCATTCAAATTCCACCCCTAAATTTTACCAAATTTACAATTTGGTTTCAAACAACTTTGCAACTTAAATTTCCATCATTCAAATACTAAAAATTAACATTGAACACCCCAAATATCACATTCTTGCAATAATATCCCACAACTCTCAAAACTTGTAAATTAGCCCTTTTTTCTTTTTCAAGCTTCCAAATTGATCTCCAAGTTACATAAAACACTTCTAATATCCATACAAGACCATATGAATTATTTCAACATTTCCCCCCAAATTTCCCTAATGGCTGAACCTATATAGTGCTTTAGGACATGGTTTTCATTCAATTTCATGCATGAATTCAACTCCCTTAGATCAAATCCATGCTATTCTTACCATTACACCATCAAATTGAATCAAACTCCAATCAATCCCTAAAACCCTAAAGTGTTCAAATGCTTTAGATCACTCTACACTTGATTTTAAACATCATACATGCTTGAGAATTAATCTCCAACATTAAAAACACAATAATCTTTCATTAATTCTTTAAACTCCATAAACCCTACATAACCCTAACTTTCAATATCAACACATAAGCTTGTTCACCATGTAATACTTATACCAAATGATAGAGAATTTCATGTAGATTAATTCTCTATTTCGCAACTTAGTCCAAAAATTAATCACGTAAGCTTAAAAATAAAAAATAAAATACTTACCTAGAAGCAATGGTGGTTTCGGCCTTGAACTTGGAGATGGCTGAAATTGTGCTAAACTTTTTGATTATTCTAGTATAAATTAAACTTAACATATGGCACTTTAATAATATAATTGAATTTAAAATTCAATTAATTAGAAATTCCAAAAATACCATCAATGAATCTTAAAAATTACCAATTACCATTGCATTATTTTACATTAAAATATTCCCTAGTCAAAGATGAACAAATTTGAATTTGACTTTCTACTTGGTCATACAATTTTCAAAAATTACATTTTAGTCACTAAAATTTCCATTGTTCAACCAAATCCAAAAAAGTACATTGATCTGAGCTAAATTTCTCTGATCTAAAATATGAAAATAATATTTCCAGCCATCCTCTAACCTCCTTCATTTTTTGTAAAATTCTGGTTCGATCCGATTATTCGATTTCTATACCGAAATTTAATGCTTTATAGCTTTTCACATAAATCCCTTATCGAAAATATTATTACCACGAAAATCCTTGTTTTATTCCAAACGATTAATTTAAGGGATAAAATATATAACTTTTTAAAATTACATTTTTAGTCCCTAAGTTTTTCAAAGTTTATACTTTAACCACTAAACTTTCAAAACATACATTTTAGTCACTAGACAAAATTTGGGATATTACAATTATTCCCCCTTAATGAAAATTCGTCCTCGAATTTTCCATTCGTAATTACATACATGGAGTAAAAAGATGAGGAAATTGTCTTTTCATGTCTTCTTCTCATTCCCAAGTCGCTTTCTCAACTTTATGGTTTCGCCAAAGAACTTTCACTAGTGGAATTGACTTATTCCTCAGTTTTTTGACTCCATGAGCTAAAATCTTTACTGGTTCTTCTTTATATGATAGATACGGTTGAATTTCAATTTCCTTTGGTGTAATGACATGCAAAGGATCCGATCGATACTTCCGAAGCATCGATACATGAAACACATTATGAATCTTATCCATATATGGAGGTAACGTCAACTGATAAGCTACCGGAAAAACTCTCTTAATATTCTAGCCAATGAACCTTGGACTCAACTTTCCTTTACGCCTGAATCTCTTAACCTTTTTCTATGGTGATACTTTCAGAAACACTTTATCGCCTTCTTGAAACTCAATCTCTTTTCTTTTCAAATCATCATATGATTTTTATCTGTCAGCAGCTATCTTGAGATTATCTTGAATTACTTTCACTTTGTCCTCCACTTCCTTGATCAAATTTGGACCAATTATATCTCAATCTTTTAATTCATACCAATTCAAGGACGTTCATCATTTTCTTCCATATAAGGCTTCAAAAGGAGTCATTTTGATACTCGACTGATAACTGTTGTTATAAACAAATTCTGCCAAAGGCAAATACTTTTCCCATGATCCTTTGAAATCAATAGCACACGCCCTTAGCATGTCTTCAAGTATCTGAATGGTTCGCTCCGATTGACCATCTTTCTGAGGATGATAAGTTGTGCTAAATTTCAGTCTAGTTCCCAAGGCTTCATATAGAGACTTTTATAATCTCAAAGTAAACCTCGGGTCTCTGTCAGAAATTATCAAGACATGTACTTCATGAAATCGTACTATTTCTCTGATATATAATTTAGCATACTTACCCATCGAATAATTCTCTCGAACTGAATTGAAATTTTATTTATGATATTTATTAATTTCGAACGTGAGTTTTACGTATTCGGTTTGTATTTGATGTAGAATGGTTGTGGTTTCTTTCGATGGCTTGAAAAGGATGAAGGGTGTGGGGACGTAGTTGATGAATTGAAAGCTCAACTTCAAATATTATTACATGAAAATCGAGAAATTCGTATCGAAAATATCGAGTTAATGAAGATTGTGAAAACAGATGAACTTCAAAGTTTAGTAAGATTGACGATCAAAAGAATAAAATATGAGCATATAAACTCGAAGTGGCAAAGAATAAAAAAGATGCGTCAACGTTTGAGATTGTCTTGTTTGCATCATGGATTATATTTCTTATCATAACAAGTAATTTACTCTTTTGTTCTTGAATGTTATAGAACACTCATATTCAGAAATAAAAGTCTTTATCTTGAAACACTCATAATCCCCATCAAAAGAAGCATAAATCATGAAAGGACATCTTGTAGGAGTTCTGGTTCTTCCACTTTCATTTCTTAAAAATTTAAAATCAAATCTATGAACAACGGCATATGCATATAAAGATTCTTTAAATTGTTGTGGGCTCTCAAATACCATCCCCATTTTAAATATGTGCTCAACACTAAAAGCATCAAAGAAGACATTATTTTTCTTGGGCAAAACCTCACCATCGGAATCACTCTCATGGCTATTGGCATCTTCACGTTCCAAGTTTCTTTCCCGTCACCCTCACTGTCTACAACATCTTCATTTCTAACTGTAAAAAGATTGTTAATTTCTAGATATGGTTCTAAGTCTTCATCTTCTACAGATCTACTGTTAGTGTTTTATCTTACTCTTTGTAACGAATTTATGTGTTGCATGCAACTATTTTTTTGTAACACTATTTTTGACCTGAGCAGAAACTATCTATGTCCGTGCATACGAAGAAAGGATGGATCTACTACGAGCAGCCCTTGTCGGTGCTCCTGGAACGCCCTACCATGACGGGCTGTTCTTTTTCGACATTTATCTTCCTCCGGAGTATCCCTATGAACCACCTGTAAGCTCTACTTCCAACCTTGCTACTACTAATTGCAGCTTTTGGAATGCAAATATAAGTGGTCTCATAAATTATGAAAATGTTATTATCCTTAAACATATCTCATGAAACTCGAACTTTTGCAGTCGGTGTACTACCAATCCGGGGGGCTACGCCTCAATCCCAACCTGTATGAATCAGGGAAGGTTTGCTTAAGCCTTCTAAATACATGGACAAGTTCAGACACCGAGGTCTGGAATCCCGGAAGCTCCACAATTCTACAAATTCTCTTGTCCCTCCAGGCTCTTGTGCTTAACGAGAAACCATATTCCAATGAAGCTGGATACAATAAACAGTTAGGACGAGCTGAGGGGGAGACAAACTCTGTGAGCTACAACGAGAATGTGTTCCTTGTAACCTGTCAGTCCATGCTTTATATTCTGCGCAAGCCACCCAAGGTAAAATCTTGCAGTCTAAACATCTTTCCGGCTCCATTCGATGAGTTTGTAAGTATTCTTTAAGATAATTGATTGGTCCTAAACATCTTTCTGGCTCCATTCGATGTTTGTTACAGCATTTCGAGGCACTTGTCAAGGAGCATTTCAGTAAAAATGCTGAAACGATCTTCTCGGCTTGCAACACATACATGGAAGGTGCACGAGTAGGATGTGCTCTTGAATGCAGTGGTAACGGGCATGACGAACACATCGAAGGAAGTTCGACCGGTTTCAAAATCATGCTGGCAAAGCTCCTTCAGAAGCTTGTGGAGGCATTTTCGTATCAGGGTATCGATTGCAGCCGGTTCCAAGGGAAGAAGTGAATCTGCTATCATATGAATACCATTGTACAATATTCCTCACCGGAATTCAAAACACGAAAAATGAAATCGAATAATGATTCCTTTAAGGAATCCTCTGTACTTATATCCAGGTGTGATTTGGTTAGAGATTGCTATGCTTTCCTAACCTATTACAGTGGAAAGTATGACTGTTATAGAAAACTATTGTTTGCAGACAGTAAGAATGTGAAATAAGAAGTGATGTTTGGGTTGGTGTGCTTTGAGATATGGGAATGTACCTTATGTAAATGAACTAAAATGACTCCAATCCGAGATAACTTGAATCTAAAACGATCATTTATAAATAAATAAGATGAAATTACTCGAGCTTAAAATGATCTACCTTATTCATTCGATAAACTCAAATAAATCGAGTTTGAAATAATTTTGAAACCAAAATTTGCCATTAAATCCTTTATGCTTTATGGTCAAAAATCAAATTAAGTCTCCAAACATGATGGAGATAGCTTTAAATACCCCCACTGATTTTAACACTGTTTCTTCACCGCTCCGAATCTCTTTAAGATTCGCCATTTTCAAAACCAGTTACGATGAAGCCACCGGAACCTCCTTTTTACCCAAGAAGCCATTCAAAAACCCATAATTTCCAACCAATTCCCTTCCTCTTCGTCGTCATCGTTTTTCTTCTTCAAATCCCAAAGACAATCTCCTCAATCGCCGCTCAAATACCATTAGAGTACATCCAACACTGCAATGACGTCGTCCTGGCATCAACGGCGGAGCCTAGCGCTCTCTCTTCCAGCCCCTCCTTGTCTCACAGCCTCGACTTCAAAATTGGGTATTACTCCGGCGGAGACTTCATTTTCTTCCAACCGAATCTCGCCACCGATGTGCTGAAATCCGCCACGTTTCATGCTCGTTTCTCGCAAGACTACCTCGATAGTAATAAATCACGAATCTATAAAGTGAATGGGAAGCTCGTTTTACAAATTCCCAAATCACTTGTCATTTCTTCTTCCGGTGGCGGTGTATTAAACCCCCACCGTGGATTGCGGCGGACGTTCCGGATCAGGGGAACGAAAATTCCGTCCGTGGTCGATAGAGAGATGCGGAGGTTTTCACTTGGCGGGTTTTGGTCGGAATCGACTGGGAGGCTTTGTATGATTGGATCAGGGATGAGTAACGGAAATGCAGGTAAATTTAGGACCTTAATGTTGTTCTTAAGCTCAATTATTCGACTAGTTTTAATGTTTCCGGTTGTTTAATCTCTGGGGTTCTTCAAAGTTTGGATTCTGAACATAGTTTGAGTTATTTTGAGCCTGTTTCCATATTGGGTGTGAGGAGCTTTGGGAATTATGAGTTTAGTTTGGTTGATAATGGAAAGGAAAGTTCATGTTTAAGTGAAGGAGAGAACTTGGATGTTAGCAAAGCAAATGGAGGACTTTGTTCAGTGATTGTTCACCGTAGGATTAGGTTTGGATTGGAATATGAGAAGGACTGTGATCAAGTTAATTGTAGTTCCATTATTAGAGATGTTAAGGATGCTCCAAGTATCATGTTTTTTCGACAAATGAAGTGTGTGAATGAAGGGAAAATGCTGATTTTGTTGGATTTTCGAAACTCGAGTTCTATCAGTGCTTTTCCCCCTTTTGATCCCAATACGACCTTAATCGCTGAGGGAGCATGGGATGAGAAGAAGAATGGTGTCTTTGGTGTTGCTTGTCGAGTTTCGAATTTCAGGGATTCTTTGAATGGAGCATCGGTCGGCGAGTGTTCTATTAAGTTTAGCTTGAGATACCCCAAGGTTTTTTCACTGAGGAATAGGGATTCGATTGTGGGGAAAATTTGGAGTGATAAAAGCAAGGATGATCCAAGTTACTTTGATATGATTAGACTCGGGAGTGTTTGGGAAGTATCACCTGGGTTAAAGAATGTTCCGGGTTTAAGATACGAGTATACAGAGGTTGACAGTGCTCGAAGAACATTGCTGAAAACAAGGGAAATACATACCCTAACGGTGATTCAATAGACATGAGGTTTGAAATGATGTTGATAGATAGTAAAGGAGCAGCAGCATGGGGTGTTGCAAACCCGCTGTTTGTGGGTGACCAGCCCTACAAGTATCAACCTTATGGTCTTTTACCAATGTCAACTGTGTCAGCAGTTCACTTGAGCAATAATGACAGCAGGCTATTGAATATCAGCTACGAAATTAGCTACTCGTATCGTTCGAGTGATGGTCGTATTTTGGAAAGAGGATTTCTAATTTCTTCTGAGGGAGTATATGATGGGCATTCCGGTATTCTATGCATGGTTGGGTGTAGTCAATTACAAGTAAGATACGAGAATCATAGTTCGATAAAAAATGATTCACTGGATTGTGACGTTTTGGTTACTGCTCAATTTTCTCCGTTAAATTCTGCAGAAAAGTATCGTGTAAAGGGGACAATTAAAAGCACACGTAACAAGTCAGACCCTCTTTATTTTGGACCCATTAGTTTGTCTTCAAAATCATTCTACGCCGGACAGGCAAAAGAATCCATTTGGAGAATGGATCTGGAGATTACCATGGTTCTGATTTCCAATACACTCGCATGTCTTTTTGTTGGATTGCAGCTTTTTCATGTTAAGAAACATCCCGAAGTGATTCCCTTTATCTCTGTCTTGACGCTCATTGTTCTTACTCTGGGGCATATGATTCCTCTGTTGTTGAACTTTGAGGCCTTGTTCGTACCAAACCATAATCAGAAACAAAATGCTTTTCTTCAAAGTGGTGGATGGCTTGAAGTAAACGAAATAATAGTAAGGGCAGTAACAATGGTAGCTTTCCTTTTACAGTTTCGCCTTCTCCAACTCACTTGGTCTGAACGGCAAAGTGATGAAAGCCTAAAGGACTTATGGGAGGCCGATAGAAAGGTTTTATACTTATCCCTACCTTTATATCTATCCGGTGGGTTGATTGCTTGGTTTGTGCACCTACGGAAAAACGCTCACTGGACACCATTTCTACAACCCCATTAGAGACTTCTTCCGTTCAAGAATCATTTCTACCAGCAAACTTCTTTCTGGAGCGACCTTAAATCTTATGGCGGTTTGGTCGTCGATGGGTTTTTGCTTCCACAGATAGTGTTCAACATGTTATCCAATTCGAACAGAACTGCTCTTGCTGCTTCATTTTACCTAGGAACCACCCTGGTCCAGTTGTTGCCTCATGGATACGATCTTTACAGAGCTCATAGCTTTTCAGGATATCTCGATTTATCGTATATGTATGCCAACCATAAGATGGATCTCTATTCCACGGCCTGGGATATCATCATACCTTCTAGTGGTCTGCTCTTTTCCATCTTCATTTACTTGCAGCAGCGATTTGGGGGTCAGTGTTTACTACCTAAACGGTTTAGAACGATGCGGTATATGAAAAAGTGTCTGTAGATAACAGTGAGGAATTGCAAGGGGAATCAGTTCAGAAGAACTTTTATAGCTTGTGATGCAGTAATGGCGGAAACAATATTTTCATCTTCCAGAATTCAAATATATAGTAAAATCGTTTCAGTCACCATGTTCGATAGCTATGGGCTCTATATTCTTTTGCTTCCCAGTTCTGGTATGTTAACCTCCAAACTTGTTGAAATCAAAGAGTGATATACTGAAATAAATGTTGAAAGTAATATGTTTTACATATAAATCAATTTATTTATATCCTGAAGCTTCAATATCCATGGAACTGGAAGAACATAAACCAGGCGAAAGGGAAGGGAATTGTGGGCTTTCAGCAAACCCAGGAGACAATCTCGATCAATCCACGACAGTATTATCCTGAGAATACAATAGCTGATTATTAATGTTCCGACATCAAAAAGTTCCACCAGTAAACTCGGTTTAATCGAATTTTGTTCACCTTAGTTTAAAAGAAACGAACAAACAAACTTTGATTTGGAAATATAAGTATTCTACCAGCTCGCTTGGGCCTTTGTTCAACTGGTCAAGAATATGTAATGCCATAACATATGTTCATATGAACTCAACAAGAACTAAAAAATTGTCTTGTTTCCCAGTCTCAACGGCTATTGATTCAGACAGATTCAAGCAAGATACACGTGATCGCTATACATATGAGAAGTCGTATTCAAAGACTGGAGCATTGCTTCCCCTCTTTGGTTGAAAACGAATGTGGATAAACCACCATTGCTCACATCAATCGACCTAAACCTGAAACATGAAAAAGAAACCGTTAAGAACTGCAGAAAATCGAGCATGGACCATTTACGAACAACGGGTGATATGCAGATCACGATTTTCCAGTTCAACAAGATGTCTAGAAACACATTGACAAGAAAACGGCATACCTCTCGAGGGGGAAGCCCTACAGCTGAGCAGATCAGTGCCCTTAACATTGATTTCTGAGTGACAACCAAGAAGTTTTCTCCCCGATCAATAATAGACCATTCTTACTAATCAATCAGATCAATTTGACAATTCAGAAGATGATAAAAGTTACAGAAAAAATGAAAACAGAAGAGAGCACACCGGCGAGAACAAGATTTCCCTTCAAGATTCTCTAGCTGTTGTCCACAGTTTCCGAAGAGGGTAGATGCCGTTTACGTAGAAATTCGCCAGATCCTTTCTCCATGTTGTGTACTCCTTTGGATATATCATTTTAGCATCCACTGCCTCCAAATTCTGAATATCATTTAGTCTAGTACTGGTAGTTTTTGCATCATTCCAAACCAGAATGAGCTAATTAAGTTAATCGGTGTTCGAAACTGACTAGATGACTTCTACATAGACCAAGTTAGTAATGTACTTAGACAAGTTGCGAAACAAGTAAACAATAGTTAGAAACAGACCATTTTTCATGCCTTCAAGGTAAAAGAGATGGCACTCCTTAAGTGAATCAAGGAAAACCAGTGGCTCTTCCCTGCCTTGCCATAACACTTCGGCAGTGGTCTGCATCAAAGAAAGATTGTCCGATATAAAAAGAATCTTGTCTGGATAACTTTAAACGTCAGTAGTCATACCTTAGCACGTGTTATCGGACTCGAAAAACATTGATCAAAGTGCATATTCGCAAGGGCCTGACTACACCTATCAGCTTGCTTTATCCCAGCTTCTGTTAGAACAGATAAGTTTGAGCTTCCCTGTAACTCAAAAGATAACTAAGTCAGCAGTTCAGTCATTCAATTTCATGGGATTCTGATTCAAATGGAACTAACTTCTGTTATGCCCTAACTCTTCATTACGCTAAAAGTACTCAGATCAGACGCATGTATCAGATTATATCCGTGTTTGAGACACATCCAAATCCAAGCAACATAGTCTAATTTCGTATATGTTCAGTTGTTAACAATGAATCGGGCACCTGTATCGAATACACTAGTTTGAGCTTCCATGAAATTCAATGCTCACCAATCACATTCACATTGACATAAAGAAGCTCTCATTTCTCTCATCCAGGGTGGGAGGCACGTTGTAGGCGGGAGAGGTAATGGCCTTCCAACTTTGATGATTTAATCACATTTTAAGAAGTTATTGATATCCTTTTCACATATTAATGAAATTAAAATCTAAATAATTTAATTATTTAATTCCTCGTAGTTCATGCTATATTATTGCAACTAAACCCCACCACCCACAACATAAACAAAAACTTGCAGCAGAAACTAGTTTACAAGGGAGCTGGGGGCAACAAACCTGAACTCTACCCTCTTCATTCCAAGAGCTGAGGCCATGCCTTACAAGAGTTACCTTCTTTGGGGACGATAAAAACCCACAAGTAAGTGATATGGTAGCTCTCTCAAAATAATAAGCAGTACCAGTCAAGGAATAATCATTCTCAAGCTTATCTGTGTCACACACACACACACACCCCATAGCAATCAACTTCAAATTACAAAGAAAAAGGGGAAACGGAGAAAGCAGTGAACTTACCAGCAGTTACGGGGCCCTCTGCACTAGAACTCGAGCATCGAATCCTAGGACTCCAACGACAAAGACTATAGCTTTTACCAGCTAATTTAACATCCTTTTTGGAGGCTATATTTGAGAAGAAAGGGATGGTTAAGGACAGAGCTTCACAAACAATCTTGTACTATCTATGCATTTGACGTTTATGGACAGTTTCTTGTGGGTTTCGGAGGTAGTTAATAGCTTGGTGAAGATGTAGAAAAGAGTCTCTATGATCAAATCTTTGATTATTAGGAGCTTGGCCACTGTAATCCAACTTTGTATGGTAGTGGTTTGTTTTCCTGTGATAAGCTGAGGTTTTGGGTGATTGGGTCAGCTATTCTTATCCTAAGTTACTCTGATATCTTATACTTTTAATATTTCTTTTCTAGAAAATATCAATATTTATTTGAAAATGGAACGGAAGATTCGGTTTTGATTTGATTGGATGAATTTTTTTTAAAAAAAATCTTAGAATCAGATTTAGGAAAATTTCTCATTTTATGATAATTTTTTTTAAAGGGTAAACTATGCAGATAGTCTCCTATGTTTTTTCTCTGATTAACTTTGGTAATTAATTTAAAAACTAAAGGGGAATGATCCCTAACGTTATCGATCAGTTTGATTTTAGTTCATAATATTATCAATTCGTTCGATTTTAGCGTTTCAGTCGTTAACTCTCGTTCGATTTTAGTCCCTCAACTATGTTAGAGACTTAAACAAAAAGGGGTTAATGAAAATTAATTACTGAAGAACTAAAATCAAACAGAACGATAATATTAAAGATCATTTCCCCTTAATTTTTAAATTGATGACTAAAGTCGGTCATACCCTAAACATAGGGGAATATCCACATAGTTTACATTTTATTAAAAATTATACATTTATATATTATTTATTAAATTTTAATGAGATGTTTTTCATTTTAATAAAATATTTTTATTAAATAAATATTAAATCGAGTTGGATCAAATTTTCAATTAAAATTTTGGATCGAGTTTAAAATAAATTAAAATATCTTTAAGTTCGAATTTAATCAAAATAAATTTTTATTGTAGTATTTGATTCATATTTAGGACTATAAAAAACTTACCTCTTCGTAACTATTCTAAACTCAAGATTTGATCCACTCAAATTAAAACTCAGCTAATTTTTTTTGAATAAATTAAAATAAACTTAATCCTCCAATCGAATGATGTCATGTGTCACTGATACCATGTATCGTGCCACGTGTCATTGGTACCATGTGTCACCCATTCGATTGGAGGACTAACTTTTCAAAGTATTGGTGGAAAATAAATACATTAAATTAAAATAAAGCTAGTCCTCCAACCAAATGGTGCACCATATCTCGAACGGTAGCTTTTACATTAGAATTGTTTAATAGAGCTAGCAGAAGTAATCTAATTTCTTAATAACAAAATTTTGATGATAATTATTTTACGAAATTAAAAGATTGTGACTCATAAAAGTTGATATTTAATTCAGTAACCTACAATGTAAATCATTCCAGATTCAACTGGATTTTCATTGTTTAATAACCAGTTTCTTTTTCTTCGACTGTTCCAACTGAGCAATTTTATCAGCACAGAACTTCTCTTGCTCAGATATCAAGCTCTTCTCTTTCTTCCCTAATATACCAACCAATGCTAAATTAGTATAAAACAGGTTTCATTAAAAACAAAGGAACGGTATTTTTGGACCGATAGCTCACTCAATTGTTCATATCGCACAAACAACCTTTCTTGCTCTTCCTCAAACCTGGAAATTGTATCTGTGAAACAACATTGATAATTAGAACACAATCAAAACTATCCATTCACATAGAAGTGAAGTTCTTTAGTTTATCAGTTTAAAATCAGTGTCGGGATCATAAACTGTAAATTCTGAAAAGTTTATTTATGTCAATTGGTTATCACTTATCACTTGAGGAAAGAAATGAATAGGCAGAAATAGCTTTGTTTTTTCAGAAAAATATGAAAAAATTTCATATATTACTACAAAAGGCTCATAAATAATCAGAAGCTACCTTTCAGTGCCTGCAAATGGGCAGTTTTTCCTTTGCAGAAGTTCTCATAAGCCTCTTGGAACTTTGCAGTTTCACTCTTCAAGCAATTTTCACACTGCAAAACGAAGCAATCACATTAGCTTCTCAAGCTTTTAAACCATTTATTAAATCCCATTAACAAATTCCCTTTCATCAATCGGTTTACAAGGATGAGCCCTGAGATCTTTATGAAAATTATAACTCTTTCGAGCTCTTTGTAAGCGCCTTAGCGAAAGTTTGTCTAGAGTAAACAGAAACAAACAACACCAAAATACTATATTTGGATTACCAAAAATTTGCTTACATTTTGGTTCAAAGTTGGATTATAAGTATGCTATTGTTTACTTTTCCTTCTCCAATTTGGACTTCAGATCTTCAATCTTAGACCTTATCTCAGTAGCCACGCTGCCAACGAAATTTAAGAGAACAAATAATTGCAGAATTTGGTAAGAGTTTCGGTTGGAGAAAAGGAAAAGCTTAAAATGTTATCGTTAGGCCAAGTTATATTATTATATGTTTGAAAAGAATAAAATTTAGGTTAAAATGTTATATCCAAGCAAAGATGAGTCGAAGGGGATGTCCCAGGTGGATCGAGGACTGGGCTATACTTGATTAAATAAAGGTCTCAAGTCTCTTGACCAATGTCAGACGGTACCCAGGGAGAGCCTAACAATGAGCAGTTTGGCTCGGGTCGTTTAAGGATGTTGTTGTTTAATTGTATTATCTTTGTGATGGATTATGTCTCTCGTTTTTCTCTGTTTGATGATGAGGGTTGCGTTGAAGATAAGAATCAGAAATAATGATGGGGATAAAAAAATGCTGGGGAGTGTGTCTGATTTTCTGGTATGCTATTTGATGGTGCTACAATGTATCAACTTCCATGGTTTGGTGTCAATTCATTTCGAGGACCTTGGTTGGGTGGACTTGATTCGAGAGTGGAGATCGCCATTGTTACATTTCTCGTCGAATGATGGGTGGATATGTTGTCAATTTTGTAGCTGGATTGCTGCCGTGGTGTCAAGCTATGGGTTGGTTCTGGGATTTGATTAATAATCTAGTTTGATTTCTGGTGCAGTTTGGATAATTAACGCCATTGTGGATTTGACTGCTTGTACAGCTGATTGATGGCTTGATGGCTTGGTGTGGTTTTGTGCATATGTTTTATGAACCACTTTTATATGGCACCATGATTCGGTCCGAGTCGAGTGGGATGCTTATGACTGTTATAGTTGAAGTATTTCTATAGTCTCTAAATCTTGTGGGATTGTATTGGTCCTCATCGTTCGAACTCTTCTTATTTTCGAGTGGTTTTGGTCCGGGGTATTCTTTTCCTCCAATTAATATTAGGGAGGTTTTTTAATGAGACATTGACCATTGTCATTGTTTTTGTACGTTTTCACACTTCAATTACATACAAGACACCCTTTTTAAAAAAAAATTAGGTATAGTCGAAACTAATTATATATCTGGATGATTTTGGGATGAAATTAGAAGATTCAAAAGTTTAAGGGTTAATTTAAAACTAGAGCTATAGTTTGGGAATGAAATTAAAATATTTAAAACTTTAAGGATTAATTTAAAATGAGAATCATAGCTTGGGGATAAAATTAAAATATTTAAAAGTTTATGGATTAATTTAAAGTAAAGGTTATAATTTAGGGACATAAGATGTAATTAACACTAAAATTAATATTCGGAGCACCCAGGCCCCTCAAAGCATTTGTGTCTTTCTCTGGACTCTTCTTCACGATAGACTTAAGACCAACATGGAGCGATTCCGGCGTCTACTCTCCTCTGATACATCTTGTACCTTTTGTGGTGAGCATGTTCTGAGAGATTGTCTGTCCCGAGACCAAACAATTATGGACTCGCATCCTCCCTCCAGCCTTGCTTCCATATTTTTTTACTTAGGACTTGAAAGATTGATTACTCTAGAACATTCAGCTCGTATCCTATCATAGCAGATGGTCTTGTCAATGGCGGTATTTTTTTACTTCTCTCATATGGCAACTCTGAAAAAGACAAAATGATTTTGTCTTCACCCAAAGTTGCTCCACAGCAAATACATGCCTCTCTATTGTTGCTACTTGGGCAACGTTTTACTTCGATAACTCCAACCCAGGGCTCTCCCCTTCTTCACACATTCCCCAGGCTATTCAATGGACGAAGCCTGCTCATGGTTGGATTACTTTAAACACGAAGGTAATTGACTTCTTGATTTCAACGGATCCACTGGTTTTTGCTCTACCCTCAAAGCTGAACTCTGGGGCATGCTTCTAGGCCTGAGACTTGCATGGGAAAATGGCTACAGACACGTTTATCTCCAGTTTGATTGCCTTGAGGCAGTCCCTCTCGTAAATGACGATCACTATGCAAATTGCTCCTTGGTCCAATCAATCAACCATATTAGGGAGCGCCAATGGACAATAAGAGTCGAATGGATCCCTCGAGAAGCAAATAGGATCGTAGATGCCCTTGCTCACTCCCAAATTGATATTCTTGCTGGTATGTACGTTTACACAGAACCCCTGGTGTCTATCTTGGATCTGCTTAATCGTGATTGCTATGCCCCTTACATGAGAGCTTAATGTAACCTTGATGTTTTTACAATTCAAAAAAAAAAAAGATCAAATAATAAATCATAAAATAGATTAAACAGTTATGCATATGCTGCACTGTTTATCAATATTGGAACGGTATTCTGCTATTAAATGGGCCTCTTCGATAGACACGCTTTTTTTCTCCTATAATTCGCCCTCTTTTATATTTTTGGTTTCTCTTTGTAAAAGACATAAACACAAACTCAAAAGTTTGTCGAGTTTCCAGCTCTTTGATTTGGTAAGTTATCGGTTATTGATTCTATTTTGTTCATTAGTTTTCATTTCGATTGATGTCAATATCGCTCTCCTTAGATCGAATAAGCTTTGTTTTTTTAAAATAAAATTGAAATTGTCTCTTTTATAATTATCGGGAAATGTTTCCTTCCGATTCCCATGGATTTCTTTTTGACAAACAAGTTAGAACTTTGCCCTTTGGTTTGTATTCGAGAAATTAAAGAAATTAAAGAAACCTAATTATGCAGAAACAAGAATCAATGGATTAATTGCTCTCGAATGCTAGTTTATGATTGCGCAACTTTGGTTAAAAAAATCATGCTCCGATAAGGAAATTAAAAACTTAGTGTTGTAGTTTTCGATTTTGTTCTTGGAAATCAATCAATTGATTTCTTTTTAGAATAAGAAAAAAAGATCGAGTTTGTGTCGGCCATGCCCCATTGACAACTAAGGGGACGGTATCGGTGGTGGATGGTTAATAATTTGATGGGTTTCAAGGTTTCATGTTTTACGCAATTTTGACCTGAAGAAATAAAGAACGTAGTAAAATGCAGTCTGCTGTTTTTTGCTTCATATGAATCATTGTGTCCTGGGGCAGACTTGTAAATTTTATGTTGGATGGGCTACCTTATAAAATTTTAGAATAGAAAATACAAAGAAAATATCGAAACTCCTCGGTCCGTCCTTGATTGTGTCTTCTCAAATCGTTGAGTTTTTTTTTAATCTCAACTCCCAGTGAGTTTTGGGCCAAAATGAAGGAGTATTTGGATTTGCAGCTAGTGGGAGTTGCTGCAACTTGCAACTAAGGTTACGGGGAAACCCTGAATCGGAAAGCTAGGTGTTGAAATTGATCAGTTTACAAACACCATAGCCCGGAGTTACCGTGGGAAATATTTTTTTTGCTACCTGGACTCGGGGGTAAGTGATGGGTATATCAGTATATGTATATATCCATACTTATGTTTGAATATGCATCGACCAATGTTGTTTTTACCCGGGGAACTGATTGTTGAAAACTAGTACTTTTTTTCATAAACCACTATCTCAAGCTAGTTACTATTACCTATAGGTGCTTTGAGATGCATGAATGTAATTTGTGGTCCCTAAAATTTGCCTTGCCTTTTCTTCTTATCCATTTGGTAGAAAATGTGAATCAAGCTATGCGTTTCTACCTTATCTGTTTGGTGCTTATCATAATTTTGGCCCCTCACATGTTCCTGCATATACAGCTGCTACCTGATTGCTGGTCTTTTGTATTATACATCATAGTTATTGTCTTTTTTCTCTCTCTTTCTGTTTTCTAGATTTGTTGATTTGCTCTGTGTCTAGTTGCTTGATTGTTGATCCTAAGTGTCCTAGTTTTTAAATCTGAGTTTCTTTTTTCGAACAGATCCATGGATTTTGAGCAATATTATGCTCGGGAATGGAGGGCCATCCCCGATGCTTCAAGAACCGAGAATTTGAGTGGTAACTTTGACTGCAATATCTGCCTAGACTTCGCTCACGAACCAATTGTCACACTCTGCGGTCACCTCTACTGCTGGCCCTGCATCTATAAGTGGCTTCATGTCCAGAGTGCCTCCCTTGATCAAGATGAGAATCCACAGTGTCCGGTTTGCAAAGCTGATATATCCCACACCACCATGGTTCCCCTTTACGGTCATGGCCAATCTGAATCCGAGTTTCGAGGCAAGGCACTTTATGGGGGTATGGTGATACCCCCTAGACCGCCGGCTTGCGGCACACAGCCTTTTCTATCGCCTACATCCCCAAATGGTCAGCAGCTTCCTTATCGCAACCCTTATCAAAATCAAAACTACAACCCCCATGCTTACTATGAAGATGATCCATCATCACCGTTGCTTAACGTCGGGGGCACATTCCATCATCCCCTTGTTGGGATGTTTGGAGACATGGTATATGCAAGGGTTTTCGGAAACTCGGAAAGGATATACGCGTATCCAAACTCACATCTGGTAACGGCAAGTAGTAGCACCCCCAGGTTGAGAAGACATGAGATGCAGGCTGACAGGTCACTAAACAGAATTTCAATCTTCCTCTTCTGTTGTTTCCTTTTGTGCCTGATTGTATTTTGAGCTTCTTATATGCCACTTCTGTGTTTGTATAAATTGTAAAGAATCAAGATGTAAGCTTGTGGTATAGCCGCTTAGGCAAATGAGATCATACTGTATGATATGATATAATATCAGAGTTTATCTGAAAATTGTCATTTTTTTTACAACTGCCTCTCTACAGGCCGATGGTGTAATTAGAGAGCAAAGGGTGTTTAGGTGACTTGTGTTAGATTTGTCTAGAAATTAAGTTGACAAGTTGAAAATTTTATCTTGGTTGGTAGCTAACTTATTGGAAATTTCATCTTGGTTGGTGGTCAAACTTTGAACATGTGAATTTCATATTTGGTGGTTAACTTATACACATTGGAAAATTCTTAGGTAGGTGGCCAAACTTTGAACATATTGTTCTTAAAACTTAATTATAAATAGGCTTAAGTATTTTCATTAGAAATCATCCCAAAAACAAGTTCTCTCTTCCTATTGTATTCTTCATTCTCCCACTTTGAGAATTCTAAAGAATTCTATTTGTTGTAATATTGGCGATATAGTGAAGTTATCATCCAGTTTGGTGCCCGAGGAGTAGACGATATTCCCGTCGAACCTCGTAAATTTGGTGTGTTATCTCCTTTATTGTTTTTATTCGGTTCTTTTCCATTGTGTTTCAATATTCAATAGTTTGACAGGTTTATCTGTTGTGCAACCTTTGGTGGTTTTAATCTTGACATTTTAGGTCAATTTTAAAACTACGTTCGTGTGGGAAATAACCCGTTTTCCCCCAACAACTTGATCCCACGTCAATTACATCATTTGGTCCTTCAATTTTCACTAACTCTACAATTCAGTACCCACTACAGCCAAGCTCTTAATTGAGTCATCATGTGGTGTCTTGACGTTGGAAGGTAAATAATAGCAAGTGATTTACACCCTAAACCAATTTCAAATTGTACCCTCTCTCTTCATTGTGCTCCTCGAGAGCTGTTATAGGGATATGAAGATAAAATATCAATCATTTCACCAGGGGTTAGGTCACAATAAGCACTCGATGCCCTACATAATCTTCGGATTGTGCCTTCCACTTACGTAGTGCTCCTTGAGTCTTGTTACAAGATAAAGAGAGAAAATCCCACAATAATATTATTTTGAGAATATAATAATTAATTGTTGAATGTTACAACTAGCCGTATAATGGAGAGATCCATTAACAAAAATAATTCTTTTTTGGTAAACAATAAAGAATGCTATTAGGCAGCTACCGGAAGCGCTTGATCTTCATGCAGCAACCGGAAGCGCTTGATCTTCATGCAGCAACGATGACGGCATTCCTGGGGGACCATCCACTTCACACGCTCATTCTTTTTGGCCAATTTTGCCAAGTAATCTACAACCTTATTTCCTTGTCGAGACACATGATCAAACTGCACCACCCAATTTTGTTTCAATAACTCCGTTACGTGACTCACAAGTGTTACCTTGCAATGCTCATTTTCAGCTGCCTTTAGCGTCTCTATAACTTCCATGCTATCGACTTCAACGATGATTTGATTACGCCCCACTTCTAAGGCACATATCAGTCCGGGATACATACCCCAAAAGTTCAGCTTCCAGGACAGAACATATTCCTATAAACTTGGTAAATCTCATTTTCCATTCACCACCATGATCTAGAATAACTCCACCACATGAAGTTAGACCTGATTTCTTATGCCTGGCACCATCCGAATTCACCTTTAACCAGCCGGAAGAGGACACTGCCATACATTCACACGAGCTGGACCTCATGGTTCCTGACTAGTTTGCTGCAATCCGATTGTTGAAGCTTGGTTCATGATCTCCATTAAGTTTTTTCTCTGTTTCTATAATCGATCGATCATCTTCAATTGGTGAATCAAACACAACCGAGTTGTGATATAGCCACATGTTCCACACCATGTAACCAACAAGAGTTCCTAATTTTCAACGTTACTTACAAAATCATTGCAATTGTTGAGATTCATAGTTATTCAAGCTTTCATGTCCATAGATATAAAAGCTTGTAGTTTCTCTGGTTTCATCAACGCCACCCATCGGGAAAGCGCACATGGACAGGCTCTCAACAAATGATGGATGTCTTCCTTAGGGACAAGTCGGGCAGCTAGTAGCTACTATCGGTGGTAAGATGCGCCTCATACGTTCAGCATTTATCAACAAATGATCATTACCAATTATCCAGAAGAACATTTTAACTTTCGGTAAACCACGATATTTATTGATAATTGCCCAAACCTCCTACCTTAAATAAGTGGGATAACCAACGCGAAACTCATACCCAGACTTAACCATGAACAGACGATCATCACGCAAGCTCCAACCCACAACATCCATTCCAAACTGATGCGCTAGACATTTCTTTGTTGCGATTTTCAGCAGTATATTTAACGGAAAAAATTGCTTGAGAAGTGGCTATTGTCGGTTTCCATCCTCGTTGGTCATTTATGCTACAGGAATCGAATGCATATCAATCGCTCCAGCAGACATAACATGATTAATTAGAGGTCCACAATCGTCCAGCCAAGAATTGAACCAAAAACCAACAGATTGTCCATTCCGAATGCACCAATTAATATTGTTTCGAACATCATCCCAAATGCACGCCGAACTCCTCCACAAAGTAGAACAATTAGTGCTTTGGACTACCTCTGG